CAACTTGCTTGCTATCCTCCTTTGTCTTCAACCCCTGCCATGCTCACCTCAGCGGTTGACGGCTTGGCCACCAAGACCGGCAGCTGGCCAAGCACCGGGCGCGCGTTCAGCAGCGCCGCTGCAGGTGATGAGTTCGAAGGCGTCTCCTTCACTCGGTTCCCCATCACCCAAGGCGCTTCGAGAACGAAGCGGTCTCAACGGCGAGGGGCTCTTTCACCTGACAAGTAGAAAGGGATAGAAAGAGAATATGTCTTGAAAGTGAGTTGAATTGGATCCTGACTCAAATATAATTCAAGTGAGTTAAAAGCAACCAGTCCTTCGCTTGAATGGAACATGGTGGTTTGTGTTCATGTTGTCGAACTGAACATGGTGTTGTACGCTTTTTGCCCCTTCAACGCACCTTGTCAATATATGTCAATATGGAGTATCGATTCGAGTGGCAGGTCCCAATCTCCTCAATTCCATGACCGGTTAACAAAGGTTGGATTCCTTTTTCTTTGATCAACACAACAAAGTCAAGAGGCTAATACTTATACAGGGGTATGAGTATCTCATTGACAGAGAGTGTTCGTCACCATCGGCTGGGAGGGGCTATCAATCCACTTAACTCACCCAATCTGTATAATCGGGCAGTTGGAGATGCTTGATGCAGCCTTTGCCATGGTGATAGACTATTGATTGCTATCTTCAATGCTATTGATTACCGGCTGACTCGATTTGTTGGGGGATCGTTCACCGCCACCGCCCACCGCCGCTTCCCGCGGAGGCAGTGCCTATGCGGAGGTGCGCGTGCTGCGCACCGGGCGCACCATGCCCATCTTGGGCTTCGGCGTCCTGGAGGCGAAGACGGAACGGAACGGGTCGACGGGAGGTGTCCGGGAGTCACCAGCTGGGCAGCAGTCACCAGGGCAGGTGTATGTTTCTAAGATTCTTACTAGGCACGCACGAGATGAAAGCTAGAGTGCTATCGCCTTGCACTTGAAGTCTTAATTGTAAGGCCTCATCTTCTGTCTTATAAATGCTTATAAGGCTATAGGGACAAGCCATGTTTTTGGCGCCAAGTGGGACTTTCCCGAACCAAAGGACCCAAGGATCATCCATTCGGAGCAGCTGAACACATCGAGTCTCAGACGATCCGGGCCCTCCGGATGGCGATCTCTGGTCGCCCCGTCCGACCCGTCCGACCCTTTTTGCGCGGATGACGGATCGGCCGGGCCGGTGGCAGTGGGAGGATGACCTGCCTCCGAGAGGTGATGCATGGGAGGTGGAATTTTTCGAAGGAGTTTCTGTTGAACACAAGAGAACAACAGCTGATAGCTCGACATGATGTATACTCAAGAGTAACGGATCCATTGGTCCCATGAAGTCTGAAGGATGTCTTAAGACTTCACTCCTCTGGTATATAGCAACAGCATGCAACAACTCTTTTTCAGGATTCTCGACGACCCACATGCCTATCAATTCGGGTAAGGGATCAAAATAAAAATAAAAATAGAATCAAACAAAAAATATTCAACGGGGATCAAATAAAAAAAAAGGTAATCAAGAAAAAAATATTCTAGCCCACTGAGGATGTTTGGGGTAGTAGAGGAGAGTGTACCTCCCCAGGAGCTCCCTCCTAGTAGGGAGCTATTTCCACTGGTGAACCATTTTTCGAGTAGGGCTACTCAATGACTGGACGGCAACCTGATCGTTGGGTACCTACTTTCTTCCCAGGGAGCTGCCTCTAGTAGAAAGCAATCAAGCCTCTATTTGCGCAAGCAGGGGACCAGGAGATCGACAGACGAGCGCCGTAGGAGAGCAAAAGACCAGCGGACCAGGAGACAGAAGAACTAGGATACCAGGGGACCAGCGGACCACAGGACCAGAGGACCAGGAGACCAGAGGACTAGGGGACCAGTGGACTAAAGGACCAAGGGACCAGGGGACCAAAGGACCAGTGGACCAGAGGACCAAGGGACCAAAGGACCAAGGGACCACATTACCAGAGGACCCGCAGACCACAAGGCCAGGAGAGCAGCAGAAGAGGCCTATCAAGGAATATTGTTTTTTGATTCGCTTTTTTTTTGATCCTGTTTTTATTTTTTGGGATGCTCTTTTTATTTTTTTGATACCTATGCCTATCAATTCATACCCAGCTTTCCTTGGTTGCCATGCCATGCCATGCCATGCCCTCGTGTTTCTCAGGGCGAGACGAACGTCCGACCTGCACAGCCTCCGCTCTTCGCGAAGCTCGCTATGTCAGGAGAAGGACGGCAAGACCATCCTGGTTCGAATGGCCATCATCGAGGGGCGCACAGCCCGAAAGTTGGAGACTGGGCAGCCAGATGAAGCTCCTGCAGGTGTGATTTTTTGGAGCCTCATAGCTTGGGACGTTTGAAAGAAGTCTCTATCTAGATCCCAATCTATATATATATATATATTTAGAGGTCATCTATAGTAGGTCATCTATCTGCTCTATCTATCCATATAGAGATGAGGGTCTAATCTAGCCTCATGGAGTTTGAAGCCTGTGTCAAAACATTGCCTTTTTCCGCTCATCCGTTAGATCACCAACAATAACTTCGTGCATAGTGCGCAACCACAACCACGACTGCGCGGGCCACAGGCGGAGCCATGCCTGTAAACAGCAACACTTTCAGGACCACAGGCTCGTCCATCCCAGTAAATGTGATGACCTGGGCGCCACGGGCAACTCCTGATTTTTGTCAACGCATCCAAAGGCGTGGCGACACGCAACATGCTTGGAGACGAGCCGTGCTTTCCCAAGAAGCGCATTTCCGCGTTGCCATGTGCAAGGGGCTCTGCTTTGTCACCACAAGACTCCACAAGACCATTGAAAGTTAGGATTCATCACGGTTGGCCCTCGTTGTAATGATGTACTGTACAGGTAAGGAAGCATGCTTCAAAAAGGCAGGTTCTGCTGTTCTAGCTCCCACTTTCACTTCACACAGTGAGCAGGGGAACTTTCACTTCACCATCTTCACCCTTGAGAAGTGGACCGAACGATCAGACGTACGGCGCCTCTATATGGGGGCCTCTATGACTCTATGAGCGTAAACAGCACCGCGACGGTCAGCACCGCGCCGCCCTTCGCCCCGCCCACGCTGAGGATTTGTCGGGACGGCCGGAAGAGGTCCCGGAGCTCCAGCGGAAAGCCACCGGGGAAAAGGAGAAGAAGAGGAGTGCCTCCAAGGCTGGCCCGCCATTGTATCACGTGGTCACTTGCAACTGGTGGATGGAGCAACATGCCTGTGGTTCAGTCAGTGTCGGAACATGTCGTGATGTGAGTTCATGGTGAGTTCTGAAAACCCCACCAGTTTGATCAAAACACTAGTGGATACCTAGCACTTCCAACGGGTGCCCAATGGAGACCTGTAAGTAGGGTAGGGTAGTCTATTGGACACCCATTGGATGATCCTGGTATGTTTGAGCATCGGTAGGGAGTTTGGTTTGCTATTTGTTCAGACACTCAGTCCTTCGTATCGCTCTTTAGTCCTTTGTGCCGATGGTTTTGCAGCAGGTGCCATGAGTGCCATGCCACCAGTATTCCAAGGTCATTAAGTCGTTGTTGTTCAGTCAATTTTGCACTTGATCCGCAAACATGGCCTTCAACGATCACCCAAGGCAACTTTCAGCTGTTGGGGGCCCTATTCGATTCTTCGGTTCGGCTTTCTACATTTGGCCGGTGCAAAGCCCGTTCTGCGTTCGACACGTGCCTCGTCGCATGCATTCTGCCTCGTCACATGCGCCTTGCTAGGACGAGGCAGAGATGCACTTCGATCTCTTTGAAGCAGAGGAGGAGGAGAACATGCCGGAAGACGAGGATCCTTGTCAATTAGGTTTCGCAATGTTTTTTAACAGGTGGATGCCGCATCCTGTTCTCTATACACTGGAAGAGGATGGTTTGAAGGCATATTTTCCCTTTTCACTCGTTTTCACTGCCTTATCAGTTGCCATATACAGTCGTTTTTGGGGGGTTGGACGGTATAATTATTGTGCTTGACGAGGTGCCATTGATGTCAAAGTAGATGCCCCAACTCCTCAATGAATATACTGATGAGAGTGCCTCCTCGATGTGTTCAGACGAAGTATTGTTTGTGTACGCAGAATGGGTGGAACACCATCCAACCGTTCCACAGCAAGCATGGGCACTCAAAAGACCCTATAGTTACAGTATACCTTTCGCACCTTTGGCACCTTACAAAAACATAACTAAAACGAGTTGTTTCAGAGATCTGCTTTCAATGGGAGGCCAGTCAATGACGGCACGGCATGTTACTTTCAACATCAACCCCATGAGACTAAGGAGTCCCCGGTCGACGACGGGCAGAATCAGAACAAGAAGAAAGGCCCCGGGCTCTCCGGACCCGCGCCGATTTTGTCTATGTCCGTCTCAACGTTGGGGTCATCCAGAGAAGATCCTTCAAACTCATGATAAAACCGTGACATGACATCAGCTCAGGAAATCCACTAATTAAGCGTATATATGTAGGAGGACAATGGATGACAGTTCTTGCCGCAAGGATCGGCTGACACGACTGCTGATGTTGAAATGCTGCTTGACCACACCAGCCTTCAGGCTCTTTCGATCAGCACGATCACAGTCACTGGCACCTCATTTTGGTATGACCATAGCCTGGTGAGGTATGAAGGAACGCAAAAAAAGGTGATGCACATGAAAAAAGACACTGTCTCCATGCGGATGTCTCCAGTGGATGGTCTCACAGAGACCCAGCAACGTTGCAACGTCTTTCGGCGGACCACGAGGAGGCGATTCCTTCGAACTTCCGGGTGGTCTTTGGTTTTTCGGGGGGGAAAAGGAACAGAAACTCCCAGAAAACCTACCCGAAACAAAGAGTCTTGGTTTTGTTTTGTTGGGGAAAACTCCCACAAACTCAGCTTCCTCAACTTCACTTCGGTACGCAGCCAGATCCACGCGTTCCACCAGTCCACTGTCAACCTCCGCGTGCGGGTCTGGTGTTCGGTCCACCGCCCAGGCTGGGATCATGCGAAGCCCTACGGCGATCGATGGCAGGAGGGAGACGTGATTTGCTGTCAGGTGATGCCCCTTTGGCCTGGATCGGGCGCGACGAACGTCGTTGCATCGCTCGAAGGTCGAACGGAGCGAAGGTCGGACGCGACGAACGTAGCTCCTGGCTAATTACTACTCCCAGAGGCTCCATGGGACTGCCATAGGACTGCCGATCAGGCCAGGGGTGGTGCCAGGGGGGCCTTTCTGGGGCGGCAGTCCTATGGCAGTCCCAGACAGGTCGTGTTTGGGTACGAACGTGGCCAGGTGTCGGACACGGTGGCATCCCGCGGTCCGGACGACGGGACGAGTGGAGCGCCAAGGGCGGCTCCGGCATCGGCATCGGTGTTTTTTGCTTCATTCAAAGGCGTGCGGATGAAAGAGGTCGCAGTATTTCTTTTCGCAAGAGGTGCCACAGTTGAGTCATGTTGAGTCTATCAGCAAATAATTGTGATCAAGGGATGAGTTCTACCAGCAAGGATTTCTTCGAGCCAGGGCCGACGAGTAGCTCCCGCTTTAACCTCGAGCCGACAGGAGCAGAAGTTTGTAAGGAGATTTGGGGACTAAAGATTTCATAACCATCACCACTCAAAGGGTGGTATATAGACCCCCCTGAAGATGTATTTTCCATTCAATAGTATAACCATCCTTTGGGTAGTGCTGGTAAAGATTAGTCCCTTTTGTTCCGGCCAGTTGCAACTGGTTTTGCTTCACTGGAGCTCCAAGCAAAAGACTCTTCATTGACGATTTCCTCAAGAGTCATGAAAGGGAGTGAATACCAAGCACTCCAAACTCCGGTGTGAATCGCCATAATTTGGTCTTGGTTATGTCACACATCCACCAATCCCAAGTGGTGGTGTTCGTAAACCCTCATCTAATTTAAAGTGAACCAAAGTAGCCGGATTGCAGACAAATAGAATCTCTGAAGCCATCCACACATCATCTGAATTGGGAGTTGGACGGCAACTTGCTTCATCTTGCTTCCTCCTTGAGCAGTTCCCACAAAGATTTGTTTGACATCCACATACATCTATCATGCGCTGTTGTGTTGTTGTTTTTTGTATATGTTTGTCTCGTGTCCCAGCTCTACTCCAGTTCACCTACTTCTCCAGTTCTCACATGTTGCCCGAATTCCACCAAAAAAGGGCGGCGCAAGAAGAAATGTCTGCATTGTGTTCTACTCTTCAGATCTTGTTGTTGACTTCTCTTGGGCCTCACTCAGAGCGACGTTTCCACAACTCAGGATGCCCTCGGGTACCATCGCCTTTGGCTTGAATGGTGACTTCCAGGCAGGTCGGCGTCGCGTCACACGTGCACCTGCGCCATGGGAGAACTGCGGAGATGGAGGACAGCGAAGAACTGGGTGGCACGGATGCCGAAGCATGAGAACTCATGGAACGCTTTTGGTTTTTGTTTCGGGTACTGGTGCTATGGCCAGGTGGAGTCCGACGGTTTTGTCACATTTTTTTGGATCCACAGGACAAACGCAGGGCTCCGAGGCAGTTCATGTCTGCACGATGCGCAGTGCTACTGGTATGCAGGAAAGGATGCACCTTGCTGAACCAATGCAGTTCTTTTTTGCTATATGGAGCGTGGGTCCGTGGCAACAAAAAGGATGATCACCCATACTCACCCGCTGCCACATCCAACGCACTTCCAACCTCACCCTCCGCACTTCCAACCTCACCCAGCGCACTTGCGTGTCAATCACTCCGCACTTCAGAACCCGAGGCTCCGATGGGCACGGCCTTTGATCTCCAGCTACCGCCGCTTCGGTTCCGCAAGAGCTCGGTTCCGGGCGGCTCCGGACGTCGGCGGCGGCGGCGGCGGTAGCTCCGTGAGAGAAAGGCACCGGGTCGGTGAGAGTCCCGGACCCCGGAAGCCTGGGCGATGAAGCTGGGCGATGAAGCGTGGATGCTGGTGAGAGTGTGGAGAGTGAGAGTATTTCGTTGGTGCGATGTACATGACCAGGCTGGTCGCAAGCAAAAAGCACATCATGAAACATCATGAACATCATGGACTTCATGAATCAAAGCGCGTCAGAATTCACTGTTCATAGGGTGGGACGCATGTGGTGTCAACAGATTGTTTAACAGATTTTCCAGTGACACCAATTGGTCCTGACGTGGGATGAAGATTTATCACACTACTCAGTCACTCCACTAATGGTATTTTCCATCGGATGACTCGTCCCATCTTAACACACCGGATTAAACAATTCTTTGGGAACAGTCGGTCAACAAGCAAATCACTATGGCCTGCAAACTGACCATCTGTCGTTGGACCCCACTGGTTCCGCCTGGTCGCGCCCGCTTCGTTGACTCTCTCTCCAAGGCCCAACAGTCGACTCTGTTTGGTGGCCTCGGCCGGGGAGAACGGCCGCCTCCGGGTGAACGTGGGTCACTCCGCCGAACGCCGTGGGGCCGTGCGTTTGGGTGTCCGGCTTAGGAGCCAAACCACTGCGCCGAGCCGGGGCGGTGGTTTGGGAGAGGCAGGGGAGGTGGCAGGCGCGGAGAGGCACGAAGTGTGAGGATGGAATGAAGAATTGGTCCCAGGGTTGATTAAAAGCAATCTGGAAGGATCATGAAAGTCGACATGTTGGATCATCATTGCCACCTTTCTGTGAAGACTGTGGACATGTTTTTCTTGTCTCGTTCATTCACTCTCTTTCGCATGTGGATGTTGAAAGGTTGACACTTGGGATTTTGGGATGCGCAGCCACTGAACGATTTGGAGTGTGGGAAGGTCGAACCGTCCCTGAAGGACCTTCCCATCGGAATGGCTGGTCCTTGGCACTTCTGTGACATGTGGGTGGAGTCATGTCCCCTCCAGTCGTACCGAACCGTTGCGTTTCGGTGGGACGACCGGGGCCCGGGTGCCAAGTCACGTCGGGTCCAGTCATACCGAGCCGCTTCGTTCGGTACGACTGGAGGTGTGGAGTGTAGGGGTCTTTAGTCCATGCCCAAAATTTGGAACCACGAAGGTGAGGTGCCAAGAGGGCATTGGGAAGACGAGCGGCCGCTGACCAACCAATTGTCGGTTCTATGGAGGGGTTCACTCGGTGGCTGCAAATCAGGCAGCAGGTGTTTTCTTCCTCCCGCGAAGTGGCAACTCACCACAACTCACCCTAACACCTAAAGCTGATCCCAGACACCCCATGTATGACATATTTACATACATTGGGGTGGTTTCATGGGTCAATGTAGGTAGAGTGTTGCTGCTGCGATCCATTGACCTTTTCGCAACGCCTAGGTCAAGTGGCCTTCTCCTTCCCTCCACCCACGCAGCTGGAGCCACTGTTGCCAGAGATTGAGGATGATGAGGATGAGAAAGAACCCAAAGAAGGCCTGTCCACGGGCCCGAAGAGGGAGCGAACGGCGGAGGGAGCTCGGAGAGTTCCGGGCCTTCAATCCGGTCGGAAGTTGGCTTGGGCAAAGCTCATGTTGGAAAGAAGGGGCCAGGAACACACAGACGTGACACAGTCCCACCAGTCTGACTCTGAAGGTTTTGGACGCTGATCCAGGCAAAAGCAGATCAGCCTTGTTTCTGTGTGGAAAGCGGGGACTACGCTGGGCATGACTTGATTGGAAGCACACCATATGCAATCACTTCGTCATACACAGTGGTCGCCCCTCTAACTCACGAGCAACTGTGTTTGTTTTCGTCAAGCCTCCCAAAACGCACATGGATATGGGATAAAGAAGTATGGTAGGCAGCTGTCACTGTCAGCGCCCATCTCCATGTGGCCAGGTGAGAGTCAAGCAGGGGCTTCACCGAGCAAGGACATGTGCGATGTCGCCAGTCCGTGGAAAGTCAACGAAATGGGTTTATGATGGACACATGATGGACACCAGAAAGCCCAGAAGGGATTTGAGTGAAACAACTGGTATTCTCAGATGGTCAAAGTCCTGTGTCGTAGATCTGGCTAGATGCACTGCAGATGCACGCAGGTCAACATTTCTTTGCTGTTTTGCATCTAGTAGGCGAAGCCGAGTTGGCCAAGCATGTTACTCATCAGGTTCTGACCCATCACAAATTGCATTGGACCAACAGCAATCGTAGGCTTTTTTCACTTTGCCAGTATGTAGTGGTCCAGTTCCCCCGCAACCGGAGAGATCTCCGATGTCCAATACAACATGCAAAACGTAAACCGCAGGTTTGCTACGGAGATCGACGTGTCGGTTTCGGCCGGTTTCGGCGGTACTCTTCACATGTTCCGAAGGGTGGTGAGGTGAGGATTTTCTGAAACAGAGAAAGGACGAGAGGGGATCTCATGAGATTTGACTTGAACATGTCAAACTAGGCCACTAGGCAATCCCCAGACTGATTTGGTTCCCTATGTTCACACCCCCCTAGTTTGCTTCATTTGAAGCACCAAATGATCCAAGGGGTTTGACAGACCACAAACATCAATGAATCCCAAAAAGCACAAGAAACAAAACAAGGCAAATCAACAGAACACTACAGTATAGCTGGTTGTTTTTGAGCAAACACACACGCACAAAACACATTAAACAACTTATAGATATATAGCTCAAATGAATGAGCATAAGTTTCAGTAACTGACTCGCCGATGAATACTTAGCGCTTGACTTGAGGTGACGGCAAGAATGCTGGGTCAGAGAACCGAATTGTTTGAACACGTGCATTAGCCCTTTACCACGCATTAGCCGCAGCCGTTTAGAATGAATTAAAATCAAGCAAGTCCGGAACAACATCAGGTACATGAACCACCATGAAACAAACCAAGGGACCACAGCAACCAATCAACAGTTGAAACAACAGCATGTACCTTTACACCTCCCTGGTGCGCGGTCTTCATTGGCCAGGACGCGCACCAGGGAGTCCTGGCCCCTGCTGAACGAGTTAAAATACTCTTGGAAACAGAGTTGACACACAGTGTGCCGTATTCCGGCGCTCGGCAGAGCTCAAGTGAGTGAGCAAAAGTGCAGAAACAACGCATTGGACAACTTAAGTCTTACCTAGGCTCACAGAGACTCTCACAGATACATTAGCCCTGTACAGCATTAGCGCCTTAGTGCAGAAACAGCGTATTGGACAGCTTAAGCCTTACTTAGGTTCACAGTCTCTGACGGTTACATTTGCCCTAGACTGTGTTAGTGCTTGAGTGCAGAAACAACGCATTGGACAGCTTATGCCTTCCGTAGGTTCACAAAGTCTCTCACAGACGCGTATTGGACAGCTTAAGCCTTACTTAGGTTCACAGAGTTTCTCACGGATGCATTAGCCCTGTAGTGCATTAGCGCTTTAGTGCAGAAACAACGTATTGGACAGCTTAAGCCTTACTTAGTCTTTCACGGATGCATTGCGTGAATTACTCAGGAACGTGCAGTGGATTACTCAAAAGTGGAGCTCGAGATGAGTGTGAAATTCAGTGAAGAACCTCCGCGTACTCGACAGTAGAATTTCAGCATTCTTTAGTGAAAACTGTTGATCTGGTGTTTGCTGCTTTGAAGTCGGTACCCCGTAGGGATCACGCGGCATACCACTGTGGGAAGATGCTGCTGGTCACACTTACTAGATATATAGCTCAAATGAATGAGCATAAGTTTCAGTAACTGACTCGCCGATGAATACTTAGCGCTTGACTTGAGGTGACGGCAAGAATGCTGGGTCAGAGAACCGAATTGTTTGAACACGTGCATTAGCCCTTTACCACGCATTAGCTGCAGCCGTTTAGAATGAATTAAAATCAAGCAAGTCCGGAACAACATCAGGTACATGAACCACCATGAAACAAACCAAGGGACCACAGCAACCAATCAACAGTTGAAACAACAGCATGTACCTTTACACCTCCCTGGTGCGCGGTCTTCATTGGCCAGGACGCGCGCCAGGGAGTCCTGGCCCGCTGCTGAAAGAGTTATATAACATACTCTTGGAAACAGAGTTGGATGCACACACACACAGCGGCGTGTCCGAAAAATGCACTACCCTGGCCATGTTCGGAGGAACACCATTTGAAGAACCCAATAAGAGTCAAAAAACACTGCACGGCCGCTTCGGTTTGTGCACGTGACTTCTCGTGTTCTCCACGGTCAGCGTTGGGTGTTTCACAGGAGTTGGATCTCTCCAAGCTGAAGCCCATCACGGTCTCGGCCTCCATGGGCTTAGGGGAGCAGATGAACATCCGACCCTTGTGGCAGGCGTGGAGTGGAGGGAGGCCATCGCTACTAGGGTGGAGGACATCGCTATTAGGTTGGAGGCAGGACACTGCTAGGGGGAACCTTCCGCTTGAGTGCAGGGCGGAGGGGTCAGTTTTTGGTACGGACGAGGACGAGGAGTCTGTTTGGCTGAGTAAGGTGCCGTGTTTCATGGTGTCCTGAATTACTGATCATGATCGATCAATTAAGCTAAGCAATATAAAAATACATTCTGTGAATACGAATCCTTTTCCCTTGCAAAACCCGGTGCAAGTCTATCCGAAGATGGTAAGATGGTCTCGTCAGCTTGAAACGGGTCAAGTCCGGTGTTTTCAAAAGTGATGAAAGCTGTACTGGTACCAGCGAAGAAGGCGCCTGTGACTTGAAAAAAGAAGTCTGTAATTTTGCCTCCACTCCGGAGACCTGTTGGAAGGTGCCGGTCGTGGTTTGTTGACTTAGAGACTTGTTTTGCCGATTCAGGGCGGTCAAGACTGGCTTTCGACCCTGCCCTTTTTCTCCGGCAGGGGCCAACGGGGCCAACGGCCTCCGTATCTTCCCGCGTTGGGGATGGCAGAGGAAAGATCATGACCACTTTTTTCCAGCTCTGAGAACACTTAAGTATTTGGAACCACTTGACCTGTAAGTAAGGATGCAGCTATGGCCCCTAAAGCTTTGTCCTGCGACAGAAGTGGCAAGTAACAGATAAAATATATACTACACACAAGCTTGTCCTTTGCCTAGGTTTTTAAACCAATAAGGCCCTTCACAAACTTGGAGCAGCTTGGATCGGCCACAAGCTCATAGATTTATTCAGGTCGACTTGGCTGGACTTGTGGGACATGTTCAGTTCTTTTTGGACCGGCCAGGGCCTTTCTACCCTGGTTCATCCACGCGACCTGAGTATTAACAATGCTAGTTCGAACGCATGTTCTATCCCCTGAGCTCCAGCTTTTGCGCACCGTATTTGGAGCTCCGAGTTTTGGGCAGGTGAAGTTGCCGAAAGCGGTCAAGGCTTGGCCGGTGTATGCCTTGCCCTCTCGAGATTCCCAGGGACGTCGCGCCATGAAGGCTGGACCACACGGGACTCGTTGGACCGCGGTCGTTCTCGGCGGTCCGCGCATGACATGTTGGTGGAGTGGGCGAGGTCTTTGAGTCAGAACTCTTGGAGATGATGAACTAATTTATGTGAAACTAATCATTGTATAAATTGTATATACATGCATACAATATTTATTATATATGAAACGAACATCGTTTCCGTCAATTTTGGATCATTTGCTCACACAATTGATGTCACTTGGAAGCCGCTGTCAGGAATTCTGCCTGTCTCAGTGCCTCAATCGCTCGTTTTTCGATGCGAGGACGGCGAGGTGGTGGAACAGGTGGGCTTGGAGGCCTCTGGCAGTTGGGTCCAACATCAGGCGGCAGATCCACCAGATCGACTTGTTGACCGGACCCAGTCTCGACGGACCGGGCGTTCCAGCCACGACCGGGGGCGGAAGTCTGAGATGGGTTGTAAGTCTCGTGAGTCTCGGGCCACTGCGGTAGGGAAATCACGGCAGCGTTTGAAAGGGATTCGATGGTTTTTTTGGGGGGTGAGATCCCCCCAGAGCATATACGGTTTGTAAATGTTAGTAAGGATTTTGTGGTTGGGTCTTGAAGTATGAGGATGGGCCAGGGCTCTGGATTGGCTGTTATGTTTGACAAAGAGGTCTGAAGTGGTCGGTGCATTGAGAGAACGTTCTTTTTGAACCTTGTTGTATGTAACTAGTGGTCTAGTGTACTAGGTCAAGCTGGAAGACATACAACGGTGCAAGGCTGGTAACTAGATGTAACTAGTATGTTGATTCAATTCTCTAGCTGTGAGATTGCTCATCAGATGCCGAAAACTGAACACGACGCACGTTTGTTATGTTTTGGTTTCCACGGCATCGTTTGATCAGATATGCTCCACGTCCATGCAACAAACAGGGATTCATTTTGGAGATACAACATGATACAACCCAAACATCGACATGAACAGAACCGTGAAGTTGCCACTGGTTCGTCCCTTGCAGTCCACTTCTCCAGAGGTTTGGACATCCGTTCGTTGGAAAAAAGAACCGCCAGGCTGGATGGAGTCCCTGCCGGATGGTCGTGGTGGGTCATGAGCTCCTTGGAGAGAGAAGTATCAGGCGATACTTAAGACTTAGGCGCAGGCGACAGCAGCGAAGACGGCAGGGAGGTGACGGCAATGTTGATTTGAAGATGGGTTGGTGGCAAACTGTTTTCAAAGAAACTGGTGATGGAGATACCAACATTTGTCAAAGAGATATGATATGATGAATATTGCAGGATTGACTTGTTTTTTGAGGGGGCGTGCTGGCGCAAGCTACTCGTGGGCCCTGACCAATCTTTGCTTGATCCATGTGTCCTGCTTTGGCGGTGGTTTCACTACTCTCACACAAATTCCCTGGTAATCCAAATCACGACCAAGAAGAGCGTGGAATGGGTATGATGGGTATGACCACTGGAAATGCTATTTCAGTCATGGGCGTACCTTCATGGGATGTGTCAATGTGTAGTTGTTCAAGTTGAACGGTTCCATTACCAAAAAAACGACCTGTGATGGAAGGGAACATATAGATGCATCCAGTATCCATGGCAGCCTCGATCCTCGATTCTCCTCAGCCTGTTTGGTCACACCTTTTATCAAAGCCTCTTTTCATCGATCAAAAAAAACCGAGGAGCAAGCAGAAAGTCCTGAGTCCGAGAGAGTACACGTCTGTTTTCCGAAGATCTTCTCAAACGTTATTTGTTTAATCCCTACAAGAGCAAGTTAGATACTCAAGAGCCAACAAAGCCAACATGACTTGTACTTCTCCAAAATCACCAACTACTGCTTAGACTTGTCTCTTTACTTTGGAGCACACACTGGCCGAGCCAATTCAACACACCGATTCAAGGTATGAAGCCTTGAAACCTACTCCCGCATGGGTGGGCATCGACAAGAAGCCGAAGGCTCGAGTGGTTTGAGGTGGCTTGGGGTTCCTTTTTTTCCCACCGAAGGGACATGTGTTTTTCTCAAAAAGCAATGTCGAAACTGCCAGGGAATTTTAGAGCAACACCTCCTCGAGGTGTTTTACACAGTGTGACACAGCCCTTTTGATCCACTGGTTCCCATGCGTCCGGGAATCGAGTCACGTCCGCAAAGGAATCAAGACCTGCAACCGGTTGGATTCCGATGCCATCACGTGTTTTTGAAACCCACCAGGGTGAGACCGGAGAATTGACAAGTTGAGGGTCCTGTTCTGCACATGTTGCCTGTCAAACTGGTGTAGTTTCCTTTGAGACACATGTTGAGACCAGTTTCGACCTGTTGCTTTCTTCGACTGCCCAGACCACAGGGACATCACCGTGCCGACCGTGCCGCACCGTCGCACCGTGCTGCACGTCGCACGCCGCGTCAGGAGAAGGTGCGAAAGGCCATCAAACGCGTGGTGCACGCGTCCTTTGATACCGAGCAGCCTGGCGAAACCCATCCGAGCGGCCGAGCGACGGTCGTTAAGGGTTTACGCTGACCGCGGTAGACTAGGAGGTCCGACCGTGTCGGACCACTCAGTGTCGAAGAAGAATTTCTGTGTGCAGAAGAACTTTTGAAGCACTCCTGGATTCCGAAGATCTTCCGTGTTTCCCTTTGGCCCGGTTGGGGGCACCATCCTTTGGACTCCTCGCACCAGAAACTGGTGAGTTCCGCGTTGAGTTGAAGGGAGCATGTCCAGTGAGTCAGATCAAACGTGAGGGGATTTCGGGATTTCCCACCCGTTCCCACCTCCTCCATGGGCAGAATGGGCCATGTGTGTTTTCAGAAATTTGTGCGACTCCAACCAGGGTGCCCAAACAAAGAGCAGGTGGACATGTTAAATGTTAACTGTTATGCCATTCCCGTCAGCAGGCTTTCATGTTGGCCATCTCTGAATGGGTTTCCCATGCTTTCCCCAAGTGTTTGACGTGGCTGAGCAAATTCATTTGGGGATTGTAACAGCGGTAGTTCTTCCCGAGATGTTATTCATGCATACTAGTAGCATTCTAGCGATTTGCTAAATATAGACTGCAAATGCTTGCAAACAGTCACGAACACTTCATGTCCATGCAGGGAGTTCTTTTTCAGACGCAAGAAGACATCAACATCTGACGTCAGGTCTCTTCATTTCTTTGCTGTTCCACTTCGATTCACTGCCGGCCCATCCACCTTTGGGGCGAGCGGCTTCGCGCTCGCGGCGGCTTCGCAGCGGGTGCTTCGCTCCCGAGGCTTTGCTCCCAGCATTGCTGGAACTTCCGCGGCTCGGAGGAAGCGCAGTGCAGCAACGGGCCCAATATGCTCCTTGGCGGGGTGAGAGGCAGAGGACGCCGGAAGCTGCAGGAGTGAGTTTCAGGAGGTTCTGGTTTGGTTGGTTGCACTGGTGCATGGCACTTGTTGCCTTGTAGTTGAGTCATGTGAGTCATGGCACTTGTCCATTCAAGCAAAGCAAGGAGACCTTCAAGAACAGATATTGTGTTGTACCAGTGGTGGCTTCAGGACTTGACTTGTGTCCGTGTACCGTCATTATCCATTGTTCAATCAATCATTGCACATTGTAACAGGTTGATGTATAATGGATGCACTAAATTCGGCCAAAGAAAAAGACACGCGGCACGCGCCACGTGTGCATTTGGTTCCAACCTAGCTCAAGCTGGTCCCAGACCCTCAAACCAGTGTCCAATGCTTGAAGTAGCTATACTTGTGCAGCCAGGTCAGTTGACCCGCATCCTCCTTCGCCAATCAGGCTCGTGAGCATGGAGAGTGCTGCCAGCGGCGTCCTTCGATGGTCGGGGACTGAAGATAGGAATCGCGACAGGTTCGTGGCTGTTTGTTGATGTCCTCATCCAGGTTGCCTTTCGAATCTTGAAAGTTAAACGTAAATTCTCATGTGTTGCTTTGAAACAGTAAGAGGTCCACCTGTTTTGGCATGTAGGTTGCTCCATACTATGTGACCACAGAGAGGTCCTCCCACTTTGAAAGCCATTCCAGAGCTTGGTCCCCCTTTCCAGAGCTTTCCTCGATCCCGGACGTGAAACTGAGCGATCTGCGGACCGTCCCGTCTTCACCTACAGGACGGTCCGCTCCGCCTGGAGCTGGTTCCGAGCCGAGTGCCGAGTGCCGAGTCCTGCAGGTGTATCAAGTCCGAGGCAGGCAACAAGGCCATGGAAGTGGGTGTGGTGCCTGCAGACAAGGCAGAAGAAGTCCTTTGGGTTGCAGGGATTGGAACGGCCATTGTTCGGCTCACGAAGTCGCGGCCGGATTGGGCTGATGTTTGACTCACGAAGTCTCAGTAAAGAAGCACATCACTGCAAGCACTTGCAAGCATCATCCACTGGGCCCTGGTTATACTCAAAGTATCCCGATATACTCTTCCAAAGTAAAACCTTTAGTGCGATGTTTGTAGAACCAGATCCAGTTCAACAAGTTGCTTGACCTTTCATTAAAGGCGTTCGAGTGTTGATTTGTTCATGAGATGTCACCCGAGCCTATCTTGCAAGATCTTACATGATCTTACCAAAAGATGAGCAAGAACGTTTCGAATTTATTCTTCGTAGGTCACCCAAACTGCACTGTTTCATGGGGCTTGGCACGTATTCCGCTGAAGAGGATCAACTTACTCCCTGGAATGGAAGTGGACAATGGACCCAGAAGGGTGACCATTGTCTGAATACTAAACAGGTCCATTAGGATTCCAGGCAGTGTAGACAATGGGTGTGTATGAACATAGTGAGACGGCAATCCAATCAATCAAACATTATTAAACCATTGAGGCGCGAATGGTTCGGCCGCTCAGCATGGAAGTGGAGTTCACCCCCTGTTCATGTTCGCGGTCTTCTAGGCACCTAACTTGTCCACGCCGCGCGGTGATGTGTTCGTGCAATGTGTGTCTCAGCACTGTGCTGAGGGCAACTACCTCTTCGAGCAATGTGATTGTGGCGTGAAGTCGACTGGCACGAAGGGTGGAAGCGACAAGAAGGCCTTCGACGTGTATCTCAAGTGCCCTTTTTTGAGGAGCGGATGCTGCCTCTACCGGCGCGACTGAGGTCAGGTTGAGTGGAGGTTCGCATGGTATATATATATGGCACTCCGTGGGTTGAGTGGATGATGGGGAAGAAGGCAAAGTTGATGTGCCTCCTTGACGGATTTGATCGTTTTTCGGTGATGTGGTTTGCAATGCGTTGAACTCAACAGAGGTCTGGGTATGAAAGCTTACAATGACCCTCAAGTACATGAAGAGTTGGGGACCTATGCTGTTGGGAAGGTGATTTCCTCTAGATATTGAATTTCTCCACAACAGCAAGGGGCACCTCATCTCTCATGTTTGTGATTAGGATTGCATAGCCGGTGACCCTCCTGGTACTGGTAGCTTTTCAGCAAGTTCTTTCACTTTGGAAAAGCTTTGCGCTGGCTTTGTGCTGTCTCCAGGTACATCGAGGTCATTGCAGATTTGGATGCAAGGACCATGAAGGCGATGATGGGCAAAGTCAATCCACTGGTGGACCCCCTGGCCCTGGCTGGGTAGACATGGGTAGACTGCTTCTGAACACCTGGGGGTCGGAACGCCGACTGGTGTCGGTCTGTGAGCCTTAGACGTTTGGTTTCTTCGCACCTTTCACCAAACCATGCTGGTTCTTCTTAATTATATCCCTAGGGCTCCAAGTACCTTCTAAGAAGGTGTTTGGGGTGAGTTTAGAGGGTCCAGTCATACCTTCTGAGGAGGTACTTGGAGCCCTAGGGTATATTAAGATATATCAAGACATATTCCCGGACCCTCCAAGGGGTGTCCAATGGACTACCCCACACTACCGGCCTAGGCTTCCAGACAGGGCACCCCTTGGAGGGTCCTGGTTAAGACTCAGATCCGTCCGCCGAGAGTCGAGCGGCTTCGACGACGCACGACGCGCGACGCGAGGCCCGTGGAGTGGCATCGGTCGAAGACCGAGGTGAAACGTCGCCGGTGAGCTTCGTTCCAGCTAAGCGGGGGGGGGTGCGGACAAGGACCCAGAAACTGGGTCTCCCTAAGTCGGCCTCTTCGTGAAGAGGGTGCAGCACACCTCGGCTGGGTGTTTTGGCAGTCTTCTCTTCCTCTTAGAAGCTCGGCCTTCTGCACCAAATCGCCACCGTTCTTGGTGCCAATGACAACAGATATGTGACAAGCGATCGGTCAGGTCATGGTGGGCGACAATCGCGACCAGATGGTCGAGGCATGAGGGACGAGCCGACCTTCGATGTGGCTCCATAGGGAAAGAGCCAAGCAAAACGAGGCCATGTTCTTTTCGGGGGAGCTTGAGAAGCCGAACATCCTGAAGCATCGTGAAGCATTGCAAAAGGACTCCTTATAGCCAAGTTTGATCAAGTTTGAGCCTTGGAGTCTGGAGACTTGTGGACAGGGTTTGAAAGTCTTAAGGTGCTTGGGGGCCTCAGGATATGTTTTCAGGTGAGTGACAATCTACCCTACCTGAAAAAGATCACCCTGTTGCATGTGAAGACCTCCATGTTGTGGCCGGCTTCGCCAACACCTCGTCGGCCTCCTCCCCATGTCGTTTCCAGCTATAGCGGCGGCCGGAGGACTGAAACCGGCCGGCGTTCCAAACACCTGGGAGGTTCGAAGACTAGATGAACATAGACCAGCGACACCATCCAAAACCCTCCAAAACCTCCAGGGGCGTCTTCCTGTCAAAAGCATACACACCGCGACAATATGGCGTGACCTTCGTAGGTCCCATTGATTTGGGCGTGTTTTGGCTGGTGCCACGACCCACACCGCCGACGGGCATGCCCGTGACATGCTCGGAATGTCTCGGGAAGTGAGCCTTCAAGGTGAAGTCCGCTGACATCCCCTTCGAGGAGGACATCAAGTTGGACGCTTGGACAAACCTTCCTTCGCAGCCGCCACGGCTTCGCACGCGGTCGAGGAGATCGACCTTCTTATTTGCCGAACGACGAATGAAGGGCGGGTGATGTTTCCTGGAAATCAAGATCTTCTGAGCGACCAGGGACCACATTCATGAAGCTTAGTGGATTGAGAGTAGATTGGGATTGGCGCCCCAAGTCTTCTAAGAGGTCTGAAAAAAAAACTATAGGGGTCCACGACGAACCCACCAAACTTGGGGTATTTGGTGCCATCGAACCTCTTGAAACCATTGATTCTGAGGATGTCCGTTCTGAAAATCCCATCGGGTCTCTGCTTGGATGTTGAACGAGCTCTCTGCTTGGAAAGTAGGTCGGTGTTGGACCGGGGGGTGCAAAGCATGAGCAATCATGAGCAAAAGGTACTTTGTTTGTTGGCAAGGTTACCCTAAGCGGTTTAGATGGTGGTTATATCATCTTTTATATCATGTTATATCTTCAAGAGAAGAATGGCAAGATATTCTGAGCCTTTCCTGTGATCTGTTGCTCTTGGGCAAATAACTTTACACTTTTACACGTCATCGACCATCCAAGTGTCACCACAGACAGAAGACCCTCTCATTGCCCCCAGCACACTGCCTCTTCAGCATATAGAAAGGAGATTGTTAGTATTCTTCTCATTGACTATGTCTTTTTATTTAATTGGATCTGGGCGATTGAGCTTCATCTCCCCCCAAGACCGACCACGGTTCTAAGCAGAACAGCTTTTTCTGGCCGTGCCACCCGGATGCCAACCCTACCTGACCATACCTGGTGGACCAGTGCTTCACGAGCGAGCGTGGACCAGTGCTTCGGGTCTTGACCCATCCCCCAATCCCAGACACGACCCGTCTGGGACTGCCATGTCGGACTGCCGAGAGTTCCGGCCACGGGTGGTTGAAAGGGGGGTCAATTGATCGGCATATTATATGGCAGTCCCAGAGAGCTCGTGTCTGGGAATCATGCCCATGAGAACTTGCTATGAACTGACGAAAACGCTTGGTCTGCAATCGAGCGAACAACGCTTGTGATCAGGCCATCACAGGCTGGAACAACACCAAGTTGCGCTTGGAGCCGCCGACGCGAGACAAGCTTGGGGACAGCCACTGAGCTGCGGAACTGCAGAAACGAAGACTTTTTTGGCCAAGCGAAGAATACAAAAGGGGCACACTGTACGTGGAGTGAGTACTAATTTTTCAGATGAGCACTGTTTTACAAACGACAAGATGAGTTGGGGGGGTTATCCAACATAACCAAGCTAAAGCGACCCAATTTCTAAATAACTGATACTCTTATATATGGTTAAGCTCCTACCAGCACAGAGAGCTTTCTACAACACCCATCAGCCCAGTCAGATTGGCCAGACCGCCACATGGGTACCTGTCACCGGGTGTCCGCTCCGAACTTCGGCTCCAATGGGACCCGGCTGCTTACGCAGCGGCGTGGCTTGACCATCCATCGGAGCCGATTCGACCTGCGAGGTGATGAATCTGAAGAGGAGGAGGAGGACGAAGATGGCCTGGTGGTCACCAGCTGTGGCAACGTCGCTGGGATCTGGATAGATCTGTTGTTGTTGTTGTTGTTGTTGTTGTTGTTGTTGTTGTTGTCTTGTGTTATTTTCTTCCGAAAAAAAAATAACACAGAAGATCACAAGGGTTGAACACTCAACAGTTGTTTATCTCGTTCATTTGAACACTCACGTTTTGCCAGGCATTTCGGCAAAAGGCCCCATTCTGCCCACCCAGCAGCTGTGCTCAAGAGGTATGCCCTATTATATACAATACACCTGTGCTGAACTTTTTGTTGTTTCTTGGGGGCAGCAAGAAGCCCCAGAGATGTGGCCACTGCGAAACAGCCACACGCCACTCCTCTCGGACCATTCCCGGGGGAAGACCGCCGAACGCCGTGGGGACGCCGAGCGCGGCAACCAGGCGGTGCAGGCGAGCACGTGGCACGTGGCGACGATGGTGGTGGATCTGCCAGCCAGTGACCCGAAGCGGACAACCTGGAGAGGAGAGGATGAGATAGGACGACACCTGGAGCTTCCCCAAAGAAAGAGAAGAGCAGGTGGAGAGATCAGCAGAGGTTGGCCCTTCAACAGCCAACAAAAGGAAGCAATTCTGATGGTGAACATATACCTTTCAAAGTTTCCATGTGTTTTGTCGTTGTGAAGTTGGCCCAAATTCCGGAATCAACTCTTGACCTGTTGAGAGCTTCGCAGCGCTTCGCATCTTCCATACTTGACCAATGGCGAGGAGATCGCTGAACCCTCGTGAAAATAGGATGAATTGGGCTACGTCTTCTGCAAGGTTCTTACCAACCAGTACTCCAACCAGTACTCCAACCGGTTCGGTGCTTGGACCCCCCCTCAAAACCCATGGTTTGGTGGTTGGATCCGATCAGCACTTTAAAATAGAGTACTGACATGGATGACATGGATCATATATACCCACATGATCACTCAAAGTATCTATACTAGCTATACTATGGTATCCATGGATACTCACGTCCTTTGATTGGTACATGAGATATTATACTTACATATACATTAATGTATAATCAACTTGATAGACTTATACTATAGTACCATTATAACTATATCAATTATATCCCTAGAAGTCCAAAGACTATATTTTGACCGGCTGAAGTAAAGGAAGTTCCCTTTCAGGTCCCCTAAAGACCATTCTTTTTATAGTCTTTGACTCCCAGGGATATGATACTCATTTAATTTATATAAACATGCATAGACCACTCTAGCTACCTACCAGATGCATTGATCCATCTTGATCCCATGGCGCCCGCAAGACACCCAAGACGTCATCGCTCATCTCATGCTTTACCACACACAACTCACCCGTTCTTTTTGGGAAACGGGTGGATCGGGATTCAAGGCATCGCGCCCGTCTGCCTGGAATCGGTGAGGAGTGCGTATTAGGCCATAACTTGGCCCGGTTTTCTGTTTTTGTTGGCAAACATTCATGTGTTTGGTGATTCACACATCACATGAGGATTGGAGGAAGGCTTTATGGCTTGACAATTGGATGGCTTTGTGTGATTTTTGTTTATATACTCCGAACACGTCACATGGAAGTGGAAGTCATGGCCCTGGGTTTGGAAGACCCTTTTCCTTTACAAAGCAGGTGGTGCCATGTAGTTCCATGTGATGTGTTCTTCGGAGCGGCGCCCAAAATTATGTGATACGAACGAGAACTTTACAAGGAGGCCATCGCTTCTATGGTGGAGGCCATGGCTTCTAGGGTGGAGGCCACTCCTAACCCTGGCGATCCAGGTCTGTCATATATGACTACATGGCCATGTATGACCAGAGAGCGTTCATTCCAATGTAGTGGAATATTGCAGACGTTGAAAAACCAAGTTGTCGAAGTCTATCGAAACCCTCTGAAATCTCAGGATTTTCGCAAGTCGCACTTTCTCCTCCTGCAGGTTGTGTGAAGGCTCATGACAATGCACATGATCCTTTCGATCTATGCTTTGATTGTTGTTAGAGCTCATGATCTCAAAGCCCATGGTAACTGCCAGTAACTGTAATGATCATGATCATCATCCATTTGACACAGCATCTGGGCTTGTGAGTCGGTGTCTTGATGGTGTGAACCGGTCATGCTGCTGGCAGCAGCCCGACGCTGGGCACTTAGTGGATCGTGTGCTGCCAACGCTGATGAATTATGGCTTCTCCAAGTGCGAACCCACCTTGAGCTCAAGGTCGCTTTCAGAAGCTGGAGCCCCCCAACAAGTATGATGGGGCGAAGTCGTTGGATGGTGCGCCCGCCCGTTCACTCTCTTAGTCATCCCAAGATTTTGACCCTGGCTTCCTACATTCTGTATCTTTTTGGCCAAAAGTCAGTATTTGTGATGCTTGGTTTATCTTTCATGGCTAGTGATTTCAACTCTATGGGATTGCACTTGGCATTGCGGGTGTGAAACATGGCAGCTCTGGCAGCCATTTTGTTTCCAGCCTCCGCGCTCATCTCACTTGCAGCCTGGGCACAGCTGACATGGGAGAGGTCTGCTGGGGTCAGAGAACATAACCACCTCGTTCGTAGATGTTTTAGCAGCAGGGTGGTTGAGAAGATGCAGGTCATGAACGAGTCGAACAGTGGCCAAACTATAACACCGAAAGGGTTTGTTGTGAACACTGCTCAAGTTCTTCTCGCTATAACTAGTGCTGGTTCTCACTGCGAGGACTTGCAAAAGAAGAAGGCTACCTCTGACTTGGGAAGGTTGCTTCTGGAGGAGGTGATTCAATCACATCTTTTGGCCGATGATAAAAGAATTCCTGAACTCAGAGATAGCCAGGAGCGATTGATTCTTGATGAACTAAAGCTGGCCATTATAAGATTGTACATGCACATGTCCAGTTGGTTTCGTACTGCCAAAACCCTGTCTATACAGGAGAAGGCAATCCTGTCACTTGACACTGGAGCGGACACAGCAGAAGCAGTGTGGGACTTGTATATACCTGGAAGGAAATAACTTGCACATATATGCATGGCTGTAGTTTCCATGTATTTTGTGTTTTTGTTTTGTATACATGCGTGGGTCGATGTGCCACACTTCTGTGCCTAGGTCGAGGCAAACTTTCTCTTTCTCTTAAACTTTTATGCAAGCTTCGCCTCGGAAGGGGTGCCCAACCTTAAGGACTTCAAGGCATTTGACATAGACAGTGTCTGCAGTCTAAGTTGATTTGTTGGCTGCAGGTAGTGCTGTATCGTCTTTGCCAACGGTATGGGTTCTTCGCGCCCAAGACCAAGAAAAGAACAATTAAGGACAAAAAGTGCAATTACTTTGCTTTGTGTGGACTGGGGTGGGCCTAGTCCACCACGACAATGTTTGTGTCAGGACTGGGCCAGGACCACAGCTGGACTTATGAGGGCTCTATGTGTGCACGGTTTGCACCTCGCGAACAAATCTGTGTCTAGCAGGTTGGGGTCAAGTGTTCAAGACAAAACAAAGTTGAAACACAAACGTCAAACAACTGCACCATCACAGGAGAAAAAAGGTCCAAATCCTGAAGGAAGTCATTCGCAAGGTCATTGCAGGACATCCCATTGAATCTCTCAAAGCTTTTTGCACAAAGGACTTTTATTTCCAGATATGTATAATCCCCTGATGCTTTCAAAGCTGAGCAGAAGCCCATGGCCGGAATCCTGACGATGTGCTCCAACAGCAAATTCAGAGTGAACTGAACCAGGCTCGGCATTCTGAAATAGATGTTTGTCCGATGCTGTCTATTAATTTTGCCTTGTTGCAGGTGGACCAATCGATGCCTTCTTCTTCGGATACCCAATCTTCTGTAGAGATTGTGGCAGAGGCCATGGGAATTCGCTAGTCTAGGGTCAAAACGATCATGATGGCTGGTCAGGGTGGTGCACCATTAGCTGGAGAGTTTTCGAATGAGGCCCGGCCCATTTTTCTGAAACAGTTTGTCTTGGGAACAATGTGTTAATTTGTATGTAGCTTGTAGGCTTGCTACTTCAAGCAACCTGTTTGAGCTGAACGCAAAGCTGTTTGGAGGTGGAGGCCATCGTGGAAGCACAGGCCATCGTGGATGCTGCAAAAGAAGTGCTGTCAGCCAGCAAAGCGATGATTGACATGGCTGACACTCAGCCATTGGAGGTGTGACTGCCACGGGCCATGCTTCCACATAGGTTGTGTTTCTGTTGTGAGTTTTTGTATTAACAATTTTAGTCCATGCACTTGCCAGGATGGTGATCTGGAGGTTGTTCACCCAGAGCCCATAGAGAGCCGTCGACAAGCTTTGAAGGCATGCGTGCAAAGGGTGCAGTTAGGATTAAGCAATCGAACATGTCACATGTCAGGTGAGGGATCCTTTACTGCCTGGTGCTCCAAAGGTGGATTTGGGCTTGGAGGCCTTTCTTACAGCTCTTTGAGTGCTGGTGTTTCAATTTGCGTCCTGCGATTCACAAATAGGCGTGCACTTTGGCTTGTTCTTGAAGTCAGGCCCAAGTTGAAGAGTTTATCGCACAAGCTGGAGATCCTGCTGACGTTGATACCGTCAAGGCTTTGAGGAAGGCCATTGGGTGGTGGCGTTTGGTCGTGTTGCATGCTACGCAACCTGGTTAACCGATTGATGTGATCTGGGATCTGTGCAAACTTGTGTTATCATGATCATCTGTTGCAGGTCAGGAAAGCTGCACGTGAAGGTGGGGGGGTTGAGCTGACAGCAGCAGAGGCATCGACGCAGAAAGCACGGAAGCCTGGGAGAAGGAGAAAAGCTGATGCAGATCACCAGGAAGGTGTTGTTGAGCCATCAACAAAAAAGGTGAGGGATTCAGCAGCTGGCAACCAAAAGGCAACAGGTGATGGTCAAGATGCATCTGCTGGTGATCATGCCAAGTCAGGCAATGGTTCTGCAGGTGACACTACTGCAGTTGATGGGCCGTGCCAAAAACGCACCAGAGCAGCAACTTCTGCAGAAGATATTCAAACTGCTTGGAGGTTGAAGGACTGATAGGGAGTGTGTGGCCATCCATGCTCTAGAACAACATGTTTAAGTCTGAGCCATTGGATGAAGCATGCCAAATATTTTGACCTACAAAGACATGAAATCTGTCACACTGGACCACTCATATTTGTTGGAGCAGTCGTTACCCCAAGGAGCAAATCTTTACTGAACACGGGATTCCCACAGCTCCAGACTTCAAGGGCAACAGGAAGAGCTACACACTTCGCGCACGGAACGAATCAGCATCGTCTATTGGTGTGCTGTGGGGGTCTTACTTCTTTCGGGTTGAAGAGTGGTCTAGAGACTTATAAAGGCAACCCAAAACAGGTTGAATGGACACAAATGGGGTCACACCAAAAGTGTTGGATTCATTGTTTCATCATGTGCGGTGTAAGGCACATGTTTTTGGGCCCTGTCGGAGTTGGACTCAAAGCTTGCCGGCAGTCAGGTGGTTCAATGAACAGTTCTACATCTATGACACGAAGCACCGATTTGGCGA